TTTACGTAAAAACAGCATGAAATCACGGGTTAGAAATTTGATAAAACGCATAATTTGACTGAACTCCGACGTATTTCACGTTCAAAAATAAATTTAATAAAGAGAGTTTGCAACTACATAAAACAATGTAATTCTTTTTTAATAACACCACAAATAAAAAGTGATTTTATTTTGTGAAATTAATTAACTAATTACTAATTACTTTACTTGTTCACATTTTGCAGTTAAAGTATGCTTTATTACGGATTAGCATTGACTTTATGAATGTTATCATTGCTGAAAAAATATCATTTATTCAACTACTTGTGGAATCATGTCGGATGAGTACGTGTAATTGTCATGAAATGTCATTCTGTACAAGTTTTTTATTTGGCATTCTGAAGGTCTGTCATTTTTATGCGAAAATTTTAAGTCAATTATTTAATATTTTTTATTACTTTCAGTAAAACATTGAATGCATAAATATTATTTGATATGATTTACATTCAAATAACTTATATTTTTCAGTTTTCCAGTCATTCTTAATCTTATTCATATATTTCTCATTAACAATTCTGCTCTATTCACCTATTTGATTAATTAGTTAATTAATTATTATTATTAACTGTTATTGACTATCATTGATTGTTATTATTAGTAGCAGTACTAATAGAGTGAAGTTATTATTACTTGATATACAGTATAATTTAGTTGGATATATTGCAATTTATGCAATGTTCGCTGAATAGAGAAGATGAATGGCTTGAATGTGGCTCAGCACATTTGGAAAATATCGAACTTGAAGTTCGGTTGCCATACCGATCAAAATATTTATATCTAATAGATGAAAGAAGGAATTTTTTGAAAAAACACGACGAATATACCAAAAGGTAAGATTTATCAAAGATCTCGAATTGTAACATCATTACATTATAAATGAAATTTCTTAGATGGATAACACTTCTTCATAACTGTAAAATTCTTTACTTTGAAACATCAAAATAATTCCAAGATTTCTGAATTTGTCAGCAATAACTTGCTATGACCTCATTGACCTTGGTTTAAATAGTCTTTTTTAAAGAGGCCTAAAAACACTGTTTAATACTTTTTTAAATTGAAGCTACAAACTGTCATGTAAATCAGTTACTGTTTTTGTTTAAATGAGATTCAGTTATCAGTTAAGTAGTAAAAAAGTGAAAAAAGTTGATATTATAATTCATTTAAATTTAAAATTTTCTATTTGTTTTCGCATAAATCATTTTAGGTTATTTTTTTTGTGGCTGAATGAAAACAAATGTGGCTGTTACGGTAGTTTTGCATTCTTCGGTGAAGATGACTTAAGGTAACAAAACTCTTCTGGTTCTGATTTTTGAAGACCAAATCGGATTCATTGTTGTAACAGATGGATAAAAATTTTCGTCGAGCCAGAAATAATTACCAACAATATTGTTATTTCATAGGCTATAGACAAAATGATACAACTTCAATTTATTCATGTAATTAGGATAACAGTATTAGTTTTCAAGACATTACTGATTCTATCAAACCAATCATTGACTGCTTTTTGATTCTCCTCCTCAGAATCTCACTGATTAGTCTGATTTAGTTTCTTGAAAAAAATAAACAAAAAAAATAGTTTCATAGATTAATACATAAACAAAAATTATCATTTCCTGTCGATAAATTTTCGTAACTTCTGAATACAATTAGTCGAAATGCAGTGATATTAATGATTAAATATTCAAATCAAAATTGCTTCAATTATCAATTCATTATATTTGTAGTGCATAAAAATTATGTTTTTTTTCAAAAAAATTAATAATATTTCCAAAATTGAACACAATTCATCATTATTATAAAATTATATATCGAATATTTTGCAGCGGTTGCATTTTCATGGTTGATTTTAAACAAAAACTTGCAAGGTATCAACTTAATGAGTCACCTAATCAGCCTGGCTTCGGTCAAAGTATTATTTTATCGTATACAAAGTAATTTTTATCATCATTCAAATTGATGCATTGATTTTTTAACATTTTAGAAATTAAATTCCCTTGCAAAACTATTATTTTGAAGGTTATTGGATGCAAATATGATAAAAATTGCCGATTTTCCCAATAAACAAAAGGTAGTAATTACAAAATTTGCATTTTTTTTTCGTACAATTATTGGCAACAACTATAAATTTTAAATAAATTTGATGCTTTATGTGCATTTAATATTACTGTATCTTTACTGAATAATCAGTTTTTTTATGAATTCGTTGTCTTTCAAGCAGCAATCAAAATTAGATTAATCAGTATTGATTGGTCTCATTTTATATCACATCATATACTTCATGTTATACAGTAACAATGTTATTACCACATTGTTACTGAATAACTTGAAGTATATAATTGCCATGATTATTTTATAACTATGGAAAAATTTGCAACAGTAATTGCAAATATTTGAAATATTAACTCAATAATCGTAAATACAATAACTGAATAAATAATATCTAATAATTTTAATTCATTTGTAAAATACAATTATTGAACAAATAAGTGTTTCTTTAATAAAATGACATTTTGCAGATATCACTAAAGAAAAATTACGGTAGGAAGTTCAATGCTAATTCAGAAATGATTGGACCAATCAGTTCTTCGGGAATGCTTCTTAAAAGCTATTACGGTTTTCTTAATGTATACAGTATTGACTTCAGCAAAAAGAATACCAGTACAAATATGATAAATAGATTTGAAATGGTTCGAAATTATTATTTCTATTGTAAATGTAATTAAAAAATTTATAATTATTACAGTTTGATATTAAAAGATGTGAATAAAAATAGAAATATAAGATACGGTAATCAAGAATGCTGAAAAGATTTTTGTTTAATTTTTAAAAATTTTCTGAAATGACCTTTTTCTATCAGTTTATATTTGATTTGCGCGAAATTTATGGTATGATTAAAGTTAGAAACCTTAAATAAATCACATAGATATTGTTTTCATAAAATTAGCAATATTAATGCATGAAAGTTATTGGTGCTGAGTTATTGAAGTTATACCACATTGTTACTGTATATTTGCAGATACGTAGTGGTATTAACAGTTTGCAACTCTCATGTAAGGAAAGTAATAAGACTCAAGATAATCCATTATTAGCAAAAAATATTTCCTCCATCGCTCGTGCTGGAGATCCAGTGGTATTCCATGACCAACGCCCATCTGATTGGAATTGTGATCCAGAAACTGTTTATGCATGGGGAAATATTTCTTCGGTTATGAAGGTAACATCTTACAGTTATGTAGAATTATGATTATTTTTTAACGAAAAATTTTCACTTAACTTTTTAAAACTTTTATTCTATATGTTTTAGTATATAAATTTTTGAAATTTGAATATTATCATTCATAGAATGTTTTTTTGAACGTTTTTTCAATCTCAAGTAATTTTCAATTCTACATTGATCTGTTTTTGATCTTAATCCAATCAATATTTTTGATTAGATTTTTCTCACTCCATTGAGTGTCGAAGTGATGCAACGATTAGTGGAAAGAGCAGAAATGATGCTAACCGCAATCCATCCAGATTCCATTGTGCATCATGCATACGCTTCTTGCGCATCGAAATGTCATCAACAACCTTTGACCCAGAAAAGCTCTACTATAACTCAAAGTCTGCTAAAATTTTTAGATAATTTAAGCTTTGACTTCAAAGTCACACATACTTTTTTTCGAATGCAAAAACTTTTATGTGCAGCTATATCAATAATATAATGTTGTTTTTCATCCGAAAATTATAATTTTTTTGCTCGAACTGTACAAAGTTAAGAGCATCGCTCTAATGAGACATGCTGCATTCACTAAACAGATGTATGAACTTAAAAAAAAATTCAAATCCACAAAACTCAAGTCACGTGAGTAAGCTATCATAAATGCTTTGGTCACGTTTAGAAGATAAAAGTAATCAGCATTTTGGAAAAATTATTCATAAATTTCACCTTCACAAAAGCTTGTCATAACTAAATATAATATTCTTGTAATTATTACAGTTCATTATTGCAGAATCGGTGTTTGATTGCTGATAAGAAATTAATGAAAATTAGCATATAAATTGCTAATTAATCAATATTGTGTTGTAAAAAAAGCTTCATTGCAAATTCATTGCATCACAAAATTAAATTTAATCCTAAATTTAGATTTTTCAAATAAATGTTTCAGGTTCCTTACCTCCTGCAATTAGTGCTAATATTGGTTTGCCACCTTTATCTCTCACATTTTTCCAAGGAGCAACTATTGATAATACGATTACAAGAGGTGCAAAAGAAGAAAGTTACACTCGCAGTACTACGGTCGATTCTACTGTAGCACTAATTCACGGAGATGCGTGTCACTTTCGCATATTTACACGCGATCAAAACGTAAGATGTGATACTTATACCCTGATTTTTTGATAATTTTCATAATTTTATTTGTTTTTTTAGGATTTTATTTGATAACATGAAATGTTACAAGCTGAAGTAAAATTCGTTTTGAATAAATCATTTTGTCTCAAATTTATATTTTTGATTTTTAATTCTGATTTTATCAGAATTTTTGACTACACTAAGCAAACTATACCAAAAAA